AATGTTGATGTGTTCATGCGTGCTCATCTGCTCACACAGACTCATGTTCGTGCTGCTGTTCGACATAATGTTTTTATGCTATTAGTGCTTAGTGTATTATTTAGTTGATGTTTTTCTTAGTTCATATCTTATTACTGTTTTTCTTTTACATTTTATTGTTGGATGTAACTGGGACCCTGTGTACATAATTTCGTTCCACTACATGTACCACATGGGTGCGAATGACAAATAAAGAAACTTGAATCCTTGAATCCTTGAAATCTTACTTTTAGGCAACATATTAAGAAGACAAATGCAGGAAAATTTAACTTTGCAAAATTTCATCAAATTTGACAACATCAACATTTTTATCTGCTCAGGACAACAGATGAAATTTAGCTGCTGTGCTAACTCTGGCACGTTTATATTTGTGGAACATTGATTAATGTGCATTAACCTTTTAAATAAATTAACTAAATCTGCTCTCTTTGTACTCAGGAGTTTTAGCGTAGATAAATCTCCAGTTTTTTCAGTTGTTTTTCTACCTATTTATAAACTGCAGAGCTGCTGATTCACACAGTAGTCTTCTTATTTAGTTTATTCTGTAGTTACGGTATTTTAAATATTTCAGCAGTTTTAATAATTCAGGTATGAAAACCATCTTTTAGCTATTGGTCTAATTTTAGCCTTTATCTATGGGTTGCACATGGTTGTACTGGTTTTAGCTACTATTTTGCTGGTTTTAGCTATCAGCAACAGTTTTTTTAGTTGGAGCTTTAATAAATGGTTTAGTTATATTCTCCCTTTAGCTGCTGTTTACTTAAATTTTATTTTTAGCTATGGTTTTGCTAATTTTAGAATAATCTCTGACTTTGCCACTTTTAGCTTTTGGCTTCTGCCTTGCTGGCTTTAGCTTTTATCTACTATTTTGCTCATTTAAGCTTTTAGTTAATGTTTTAAGTTTTACTAATTCAAATTGTTGGTTTAATTAATTTTAGCCTTAAGATATAGTTTAACTACTTTTAGCTTTTAACTACAGTAGCTTAAATGTTAGCTTCTTGTTATAGTTTAGTTAATTGTAGCTTCTATTCTGCTTATTTTTCCTTTTAATTCAGTTTCAGCTTTTTCAACAAACCCCAGCTGTCAGTACTCACTCTGTTCTTCTCATTATTTTATTTTATAAATTATATTTGGCTCCTTCCTAAGTTTTCACGGTGACTGACTGTCGCCTTGACTTCCTGTTATTAAATGATTATAACTAATTATCACCTCTAAGCAACTATTAAACATTAAATAACACCAGTTTTTTCTTTTCATTTTGTCCGAGCTGTTGCTGTCAGACAGTTTTTTATTTATTGATGCAGCACATGGAGGGTGAAACTCTTATTTACTTTGGATTTATTCAGGTTTAGAGTGGGGAGCCCTGTGCATTTTCTAAAACACCTCTAAGTGAAAGCAATTAAACTTTAACAGATAAAACGAAGTGCTGTTCGCTGTCGATCAGGTTATAAGCACCTAAAAGTCTGACTCTATGCTGTTCCCCTCACCTTTCTTACAGTTTATTTGTTTCTATCTTGTAACCTCACCATTATTAGATGCACAAACATTTGAGTCCAGCTCCTCACATGTCTTGACTTCAGCTTGTATCGTTTTCTTCCACATATTTATAATCTTTGTAAATCTAACCCTGTCTTCATATTTTAGGACTACCGGCTCAACGTGTTTCTACGGCAGCAGTGGAACGACCCTCGACTGGCTTATAAGGAGTACCCAGACGACTCCTTGGATTTGGACCCCTCAATGTTGGACTCCATTTGGAAACCCGACCTGTTCTTTGCGAACGAAAAGGGAGCAAACTTTCACGAGGTGACTACAGACAACAAACTGCTGCGGATATTCCAGAACGGAAACGTCCTCTACAGCATCAGGTGACCAACGCTGAAACGTCCCTGTAGCTCACATTTGAACTCGACATGGATGGTTGGTGAAAATGAAAACTTTGAATCACGCCGTATGGCCCTCCACACGTTCCTCACTCGAGTTCAGCTCATTTGTAATTGCAGCGTCCAGCAGACGCCATGACCACGTCAATATAAAACTACTTTGTATAACTGCAGGCTAAAATCTGGGCAATAAAGTGGCACTAAGGCAGAGGTGAAATGTAGCGTGTTGGTGACGAGTTAAAATTACTAAGTAGAATAAAGGTGTAAGAAGCATCATTTAAAGCTCTGTTAGCATGTCTGCTAGAAGTGAGCCAAGGCTTCATCAGCTCAGCTTAACCTTTGACCCTGGATAATCAGCCAAAGGTCCAATAAAATAATAGTAAACTTGAGAAATTTAATTTCCTGAGAAAATGCAGCGTGAATGCTTATTGCTGAAAAACTTATCAGGTCTCTCTTGTAAATGAGTCCTCGAGGCTCAATGGGATTTACCTGTCTAAATAAAGGTTGAATGAAAAAACTTGCTGAGAAACAACTGAAATTAGCTAAAAACATGCTGAATTGTAGCTGAAATTGAAGAACAGGCCTAAATTAGTAGAATAAAGCAGAAATAACACACACTTGCTGAATTAGGTTTAAATAAGCAGAAATTAGCACAAACATTAGGTAATAAGCTAAAAAAAGCTGAAATTAGCAACAATAAAACAGCTGAAATGTAGCTAAAAAGGTTGAAAGAAGCTTAAACTACCAGAAGGAAGCAAAAAGAACTCAAATGAGCTAAAAAAAAATATAGTAGAATTAGTTGAAAAAGGGGCAGCATGGTGGTGCAACTGGTAGAGCTGCTGCCTCTCAGCGAGCAGGTCCCTGGTTCAAATCACGGTCCGGGGGCCATTCTGGATGGAGTTTGCATGTTCTCTCTGTGCACGTGTGGGTTTTCTCCGGGTACTCCGGTTTCCTCCCACAGACCAAAAACATGCATGTTAGGCTGACTGGTAACTCTGAATTGTCCCTAGGTGTGAGTGAGAGAGTGAATGGTTGTTTGTCTCGTTTGTCTCTATGTGTCCCTGTGATGGACTTGCGACCCGTCCAGGGTGTACCCCGCCCCTCGCACAGTGATTGCTGGACATGGGCACTGGCGACCCCCGTAACCCAAAATGGAAGAAGCGGGTAAAAGATAATGGATGGAGGGATGGATGGTTGAAAAAGCTAGAATTAGCATAAAACAGCTAAATAGTAGCTAAAATAGCCGAAAAAGCAACTAGCAGAAATATGCTAAAAGGAGCATAACAAGCTGAAATTAGCATAAATAAGTTAATTTGGTTGAAAGTAGCCAAAATTACTATAAAAAAACCTTGAATTTATCTGAAAACAGCTGAAATTAGCTAAAAATGTAAAAAAAAAAAAAAGAAAAAGATAGCTGAAATGTAGAAGAAGCTTAAATTAGTAGAAGGTAGAAAGAACACGTTTGTCCAATTAGGCTGAAAGAAGCAGACATGAGCACAAAAAAGTGGAAATTATCTGAAAAAAGATTAAATTAGCAACGACAAAAAAAAAAAAGCTTAAAAGTAGCTAAAAAGGTAGAAAGAAGCTTAAATTACAAGAGGGAAGTGGAGAGGGAACATTTTTGCTGAATTAGACTGGAAAATAGTTTAAATGAGTGCAAAAAATGTGGAATTAGCAGAAAAATCTGAAATTAGCATAAAACAGCTAAATAGTAACTGAAATAGAAGAAAAAGCTGAAACTTGCAGAAATAAGCTTAAAGGAGCACAACAAGCTGAAATGAGCAGTTAGAAGAAGCACAAAAATGTTGTAGTTCGCAGAAAGATCCTTAAAGGAGCACAAAACAGCCGGAAAAAAAGGTGAAAGTAGCTGAAAAATTAACAAAGTCCATGCTCAATAATCCAGGTATAAAATCCAACATTTTTCAGTCAGGTCATCTGGATAGTTTCTTTTTTTGTGCTGAAACGTTTCGCCTTCGATCTGGAAGGCTTCTTCAGTCAAGGAAACACACAACAAAACTGATTCTTCCTCCAACAGTTTACTCCAAAGTGGAACAAACCAGTTCTGCTTGTGATAAGATGGTCTCTTTGGTACGCCACTCCTCCTAGCTGAAAAAATGTTTAAATTTGTACAAGGAAGCTGAAAGAAGCTGAACCACCACAAAATGTGAAAGAAGCAGTAAAAGGTTGTAAATAGATCTAAAGATCTGAAGGATGTAAAATGAGCTCAGTTCATTTCCTACGATAAAAGAAATGGCAGAAAATGCTTAATATTTCAAAAAGCTAAAGTTGCACCAATACCACAAGTCATAGCAGGATTGTCCTGAAAGAGCTGAATGTTTTGATTTATGATTTGTTGAAACTGCAGGACGAGAAACGCGCCAAAAAAATGTACAGAAAGAAAATGGATCACAATAGTGTGAATGCTTCATAAACATTCACACAATAAACTGATAATATAATTGATGGCTTTATTAAAAGGATAGTTGTAGATGAAACTAAATCATATTTTCTCCCCAGTGCAGCTTTAATTTTATCACACATATAACAAATGCTCCTAAAATCATCAAAGAAGTGTCAGCTACATGAACTTGATCAGTCTTTGCCAATATTTATGAAAATTAATCAGTTTTTGCTTGTTTAGCTTGGTATCCACCGACCTTTCATTACAGTCTGCCGTCACAAGGGAAAGGGTAATAATGCTTTTGCCTGTGCCTGTGTGTGCGGATTTGTTTATTAGCAAAACATCTCATAAACCACTGGACGTTTTACACAAAACTCCCAGAAATCAATATTTGGATGTCCATCTTCAAGTGATTAACTCTTCAAATTACCAATACAAAAATATCTGTAACAGTCAAATATACGGATATTGAGCTAAAATTTGGTGTGGTAGTAGCTGAGAGTCATCCTCAATACACACTCTGAGCTATATTGTGTGAGATTATATACAACATCTTCCTTTCTCATCATAAGATGCTCGTAGTTTACAAAAACTCCAGGAAATGTAGTGTGAGATACGTGTTCTTTCTAGGACTAACCATGGGAGTTAGCTTTTTGTTGTTCAACTCTCTTACAGTGGTACTGCGTGTGTTTTCTAGGCTGACACTGACGCTGTCATGTCCCATGGATCTGAAGAACTTTCCCATGGACAGCCAGATGTGCACAATGCAGCTGGAGAGCTGTGAGTGCTGCTTTTAAGGCAGGCCCAAAAATATTGCCCTTAACTACTGACCATTAAACTGTTGCTTTAATTTGTCCACCAGTTGGCTACACTATGAACGACCTGATCTTTGAGTGGCTGGATGTCGGCGCGGTGCAGGTGGCCGACGACCTGATGCTCCCTCAATTTGTTTTACGAGAGGAGAAAGGTCTGGGTTACTGCACCAAGCACTACAACACAGGTATGGAGCATGGGGCGGCCCGGTGTCCTGAACTCCTGTCGGTTCCAACTTCTAACTCCTCGTGACTCCTTCAGGTAAATTCACCTGCATCGAGGTCAAGTTCTACCTGGAGCGTCAGATGGGTTACTACCTGATCCAGATGTACATCCCGAGCCTGCTCACCGTCATCCTGTCCTGGGTGTCGTTCTGGATCAACATGGATGCTGCTCCCGCCAGAGTGGGGTTGGGGATCACCACGGTGCTCACCATGACGACGCAGAGCTCCGGCTCCAGGGCCTCCCTGCCGAAGGTCCGACCTCTAACATTTAATAAACACCATGTACTGTTTATTATTGTGAGCTGTCGAAAAAATGCAGGTGATCATGGAATTCGCTGTATTTGTCTCTCTGTGTGCGGCGTTCTGTTAGCAAAATATCTCGTACACCCAGTGGACAGATTTTAGTTAAATGAAACGTTTAAAGACAAAAATGTTCGATTTAATATTTGAACATATTTGAAATTGATTAATTACCACAAAGTTCATGTTCAATTATCCAGGTATCAAATCCAATAATTCTCAGTCAGGTCATCTGTAAATTGTCCAGAAGACCTGACTGAGAATTATTGGATTTGATACCTGGATGATTGAACATGAACTTTGTTGCCTTGAACCACTTTGGCTGTGGCTGCGTGCCTGGGAGGAGTCGACGAGGGACAGGATGCCCCCCAGAAACCATCTTAGCTCCAGCAAACTGGTTGGTCCACTTAAGGAGTTTACTGCTTGGTGGGGAAACAGTTTACTGGAGCTCCTCGGACTGATGAAGCCCTCAGGATAGAGGATGAAACGTCCCTAAAAAAAAAAAAAAAAAAAGAAACTGCCCAGATGACCTGACTGAGAATTATTGATTCGTTACGAGATTAACTGGACCAGCTCTACACTCTCAGCAGGATCCAGGAGGGTGTGTGGGAGTTTGCCCAACCGGTCTACATGTGCTTTGTGGGCTTGGAGAAGGTGTTCGACCGCGTCCCTTGGGGAACCCTGTGGGGAACCCTGTGGGGGGTACTCTGGGAGTATGGGGTACCGGGCCCTTTGATATGGGCTGTTAGATCCCTGTATGACCGGTGTCAGAGCCTGGTCCGCATTGCCGGCAGTAAGTCGGGCTTGTTCACGGTGAGAGTTGGACTCCGCCAAGGTTGCCCTTTGTCACCGATTCTGTTCATAACTTTTATGGACAGAATTTCTAGGTGCAGCCAAGGTGTTGAGGGGATCCATTTTGGTGGCCTTAGGATTGCATCTCTGCTTTTTGCAGATGATGTGGTACTGTTGGCTTCATCAGATCGTGATCTACAGCTTTCGCTGGAGCGGTTCGCAGCCGAGTGCGACGCGGCCGGGATGAAGATCAGTTCCTCCAAATCCGAGGCCATGGTCTTGAGCCGGAAAAGGGTAGAGTGCCCTCTCCGGGTCAGGGAGGAGGTCCTGCTCCAAGTGGAGGAGTTCAAGTATCTTGAGGTCTTGTTCACGAATGAGGGAAAAATGGAACGTGAGATCGATAGGCGGATAGGTGCAGCGTCTGCAGTGAAGCGGGCGCTGTACAGGTCTGTCGTGGTGAAGAGAGAGCTGAGTCAAAAGGCGAAGCTCTTAATTTACCGATCGATCTACGTTCCCACCCTCATCTATGGTCATGAGCTTTGGGTTGTGACCGAAAGAACAAGATCTCGGATACAAGCGGCCGAAATGAGTTTTCTCCGCAGGGTGTCTGGGCTCTCCCTTAGAGACAGGGTGAGAAGCTCAATCATCTGGGAGGGACTCAGAGTAGAGCAGCTGCTTCTCCACGTCGAGAGGAGCCAGTTGAGGAGGCTCAGGCATCTGGTTAGGATGCCTCCTGGACGCCTCCCTGGTGAGGTGTTCCGGACACGTCCCACTGGGAGGAGACCCAGAGGAAGACCCAGGACACGCTGGAGAGACTATGTTTCTCGGCTGGCCTGGGAACACCTTGGGATTCCCCCGGAGGAGCTGGCCCAAGTGGCTGGGGAGAGGGAAGTCTGGGCCTCCCTACTTAGGCTGCTAACCCTGCGATCTGACCCCGGATAAGCAGAAGAAAATGGATGGATGGATAGATACAAGATTAATTTTCTTTATCTTTTAAAATAAAACCAAACATTACACAAAACAGAATAAAAGTACAGATTTATTAAATGGACTGTACTAGCGCCTTTCTATCTCAAAGCACCTTACACTACAATTTTCCTCATTTACCCATTCATACAGCATACTAGATCTATACAAAGAATAATCAGAGCTTTATCACATTCATGCACTGATGGGACACACATCAGATGCAATGAGGGGTTCAGTGTCTTGCCCAGGGACACTTCGACAAGTGACTGTTGGTGGAATCTAACTGCCAACTCTTGCATTGGAGGACGACTGCTCTAACAACTCAGCCACAGCTGCCCCATTATTCAACAAAACATTAAAACAACGTCAGTCATCACATTACGTTTATCTAGTACCTAGATGACAAATGTATTAAAACAGAAAGATCTTTTTTATAATCAGTATATAAAAGTATGTTACTGTTGATAAGTAAGGTAATAAATTACTGTCTCTAAATACCCATTTTTTCCCCTTCAGATCCATTTTTACATGTGTGCAATATTGAGATACAAAATCTAAAACATAAGCAATAATTGATAACACAACCAATTAAAATTGACTTCAAAGCTTCCAGTCAGGAAGTAAAAAACGAACACTTAAAATTAATGGTTTTATAAAAACAGGCATTTTGTTGGGACATATAAAAGTAATGATGAGTTTATTTTGAGAAAACAAGAACAATTAATATCTTACCTGCGGTAGAGAACTCTTTGAGCAACATCAGTTTAGAGAAACAGGGATTAATTTGAACAGGCTGACGGGCTAGTGGCTAGTCTGAGCTGGACCAAAACCAAAGAGGACTGCTGCCTCCCTTAAACAGGACAAACATTTCATAATAGTTCATAAACCTTTACATGGTCATTTATCCAGAAATAATTTTGATATTCCTGCTAAAATAGTTCCAAAATGCACTGGAACTGCTACTGCTAGCTGCTGCTGCCACTATTTTCACCTGCAAACAACCATAGAGTTTAATGTAAATGTTTGTTTAATGGGGCGGCTCAGTGGCCCAGTTGGTAGAGCTGTTGCCTCTCAGGATCAAATCCCTGCCGGGGGCTGTTCTGGGTGGAGTTTGCATGTTCTCTCCGTGCATGTGTGGGTTTTCTCCAGGTACTCCAGTTTCCTCCCACAGACCAAAAACATGCATGTTAGGCTGATTGGTAACTCTAAATTGTAACTTGTGATGGACTTGAGACCTGTTCAGGGTGTGCCCCACCTCTCACACAGTGACTTCTGGATATGGGCACCAGTAACCCCCGTGAGCCAAAAAGGAAGAAGCGGGTAAAAGATGATGGATGGATGGATGTTTGTGTAATGAGAACTTGACAACACCGTAAAGGTTTAAAGTGTGAGCTTGAATCACTGCAGATGTTTTAACACTGAAGTTGCTTGAAAACAGCAGCCGTCCAGTCTGGTCCTGGCTTCACTCAGACTAGCCTTTAGCAGACCGGTCAGAGCAGAACGATCTCCATTTCTCTAAACTGTGGTTGATGAAAGAGCTATGTGCAGCAGGTGAGATATTAATTGTTCATAGTTTTACAGAATCCCTTTTAAAAAGATCTAGAGGTATACCTCCACACTGTGAAGTCCCACTGATATGTCGAACACTGTGCAGCATCAAATTTTGATGCTAAATACAGAAATATAACTCCTGCATGATATGGAACATATGGAATGCATCAGACTAAAACATGCTTTTCCTTTTAGTGCTTTGGACACAAACAGATAACGTCACCGTGGCAACGTCGCCCCTCTAAAACGACCCTGATTACCCTACATGCTGTCCCTCTGGTTTGGCAGGTGTCCTACGTCAAAGCCATAGATATCTGGATGGCGGTGTGCCTCCTCTTCGTGTTCGCTGCACTGCTGGAGTACGCAGCTGTTAACTTCGTCTCGCGGCAGCACAAGGAGTTCTTCAGACTGAGGAAGAAGCTGAAAGAGCAGCAGCAGCGGCAGAGAACTGTGAGTCCAGCTCACCCGCTCAGGCCCTCGGGCAGCTGTCACCTGCTATTCGCTGCGCCCGGCTATGCAGGAGCAACAGTTCAGCCGCATGCTGAACTCCTGCTGAGAAACGCAGCCAGCAACGACCTGCGATTAACTCAAGTCATCTTATTTCTAAATCGGGGAGTTTTTGTAGCTCGTTTTGTTGGATATTATTAGGAGAACAAACCAAAGAGCTGCAAAAACAGGCCAGATCCACCATCCTTCATAAATAATGACTGAAATAAAACCGTGTGGCTAATTTTAAATTTGAAGCAGCGTAAAGATGAAAGTTGTGTCTTTTGTTGCTGTCAGCAGGGAAGTGGGGACAGTAAGGTGAAAGGAAACAACACACCAGGAAACAATCCTTCTCATGGCAGCGTCAGCCAGCGGTGCAGCGCCTGTGCACGGGTATGTACTGGATCCCCATTCAGTCAAAGGGATAGGTCTAATCACTGAAACAGACATGCTGGTATGGACAACCAGAGTGCAGTCTATGCTAATTAGGAAATAATTAGTGCCGCCATCTTGGTAGGTGCTAATCAACATACTTAAATTACTATAAGGCGCACCAGATTATAAGGTGCATTAAGCAAAACAAAACAGTCAGGTAAGTCAAACTTTATTCAACTCATTCACAATAACTCAACATTGTTCAGTTGTGGCACATAAAATCAATTCGAGGTCAGTAAGCACAACCAGAATTAAAGTCCGTGGACCACTTCGAGTTCGTTGGGGTAGGCCGCAGGGGTGTCAAACCCACTTACAACAGGGGGCCAAAATTAAAACATTTTTCAAACCAAGGGTTGGTTTCAGAATTTACATGAACTCAAGTCAGATACCCAACATCTTTTCTTGATTGCAGGTTCCTCAACAAGAGTTTGATTGGTCTCATGATGTTCTTTGTTGCAATTTTGACTTCATAATCAAATACTAATGAAAAAAATTAAACTGACAAAAGTATTTTACATTTAAAATAACATCTTGGGGGCCAGATAAGATGTCATCAAGGGTCCCATTTAGTCCCCGGGCCTTGAGTTTGACAGATGAAGTAGGGAATCTGGCATGTGGGCATGACATTATAAAATTAAAAGTATATGAGTTTTGATATTTATTGATATTTTTACATTTTGGGACAAAATAAAATACAGTATTTATGCAAAGTAGGAAAGAAAACACTAGTTAGACAAATTGTGATAGAAAATTAAAACACTGAACTCTGCAGACCTTGTGAGTCCATCTTTTATTTGTGGAAAAGTAATTAAGTATCTCATTTTGCCATAATACGCATAACATTAAAGTGAGTAGGGAAGAGGATTAGGGTAATAGTGCAATAATTTTTTTTTTTAATTCCTGGATTCTGACTTATTTTTCTCAGAATTTAAAGTTAAAGTCATAATTCTGAAAAATTCAATAAAAACATCACATTGTGGCCCTAATCCGCTTCCATATAATAGTGATTTATTGAACCTTTTAAATGAAAAACAAATGCTTTTATTTACTTTGACTTTAATTATTATTATTTTTTATTTCACAGTTATCAAATGTACCGTATTTGTTTGAAGCAATATGTCTTAAAGGTATTCCAAAGATCCCACTGTAAAGCTGGATTTTGGATAAATGAAGTATCTAATGGTAAATTTAATCCACATTTTCTTCTATTAGTAGCATTATTCAAACATTATTTGCAGAAAAACTGCTAAAACTTGTCTCTTTTGTTGTGGGTATGAAATTGAGTTTCATGTTAACTTTTGGTCAAAGCTTCAACGAGCCACTGCAGAGAGACCAAAGAGCCGCAAGTTGCAGACACCTGACCTATATAATACGATCATTATTAGTAACATATTTTCCTCAATAATAACCTGTTACCAACCTGTATTACTAATTTAAAAATAAAAATCTATGCAAAGTAGTGCATAAGTGTATAGGGTAGACAAAATCCCAGTTAACCATGTTTAAATACTAAAGTGCAAGTTGTAAAGGATCTAAATATTTACAGAATTGTGAGGACAAAACATATGATTTTAAGATAATTAAGTAACTACAGACACTGATAGCAGAGCTCAAGGTAGATTAAGTGGACAAGTGTGGTTAGAATGAGCTGCAGCTCACTGGATCAAAGCTTGACGGAGTTGGGAGGTTCATCACAGCAAACTTTAGTCCCCTGCTTTCACAACAAGCACAATATGTGTTTAAATAAGTAAAACAAGGCTGTTTCTATTTGTTTTTATACTGATGATGCAGCACATAACTTGCAGAAGACTTGGAAAATTTGTGGTTTCAGCATGTCAAAGTCAAGGTCAAGGTTCTTTATTGTCATTTGCATCATGTTCGACGTAATGTTTCTATGCTACTAGTGCTTAATGTATTATTTAGTTTGTTTTTCTTAGTTCATATCTTAGATCTTATTACTGTTTTTCTTTCACATTTTATTGTTGGATGTAGCTGGGACCCTGTGTACATAATCTCGTTCCACCACATGAGATGCAAATGACAAATAAATCTCTCTGACTCTGACGTGGTGGAATGAAATTGTGTACACAGAGTCCCAGTTACATCCAACAAAAGTATAAATTGTAAAAGAAAAACAGTAATAAGATCTAAGATATGAACTAAGAATACGCTAAGCACTAATAGTACAAAAACAATACGCCGAACAACAGCAGCACGAACATGAGTCAGTGTGAGCAGAAGAGGACGAATGAACACTGCAGCATGAAATAAATCAGCAGCGTGAGATCAGCAGCATGGATAGGCAGCAGCACATATCAACAATCAAGTGGCATTACAGTGATTTTTTATTCACAGTGATTATTCTGGTTAGATTCATGAGTCTAACAGCCTCAGGGTAGAAGCTGTTCCTCAGTCTAGTGGTTCTACACTTAACGCTCCTCAACCTCCTTCCTGAGGGGAGTGGGGCAAAAAGTGTGTGTGCTGGGTGAGTGGGGTCCTTCATGATGCAGGTGGCCCTCTTCCTGCATCTGGAGGTGTAGATGTCTGTGATGGTGGGGAGACTGAATCCAACAGACTTCTGTGCAGCCTCCATGCCACACGTTGATGCTGGAGCACAGGATGTTCTCCACAGTAAATGTAAACTGTACAGCGTGATACACGTAGCACCTGGCAAGATGGCGGGTGCTTCAGATTTGGAAGCTCAAACTAAAACGTTGTTAATCTCCTGGTGTGTTTGTCTTCCAGGAGGAGGAGCTAGCGCAGCAGGGCTTCCTCTTCCAAAGCATCGGGCTCGCGCTGTCAGCGGGAAGCGCACCGGAAATGGACGCAACGCCAGTCTTTGCCGACTTACCTCCCGGTCTGGGCTTTTACGAAATACGGCGGCGCTTCGTGGAGCGAGCGAAAAGGATCGACACCATCTCCCGAGCTGTTTTCCCCATGAGCTTCCTCATGTTTAACGTCCTCTACTGGCTCACTTACAAAGTTCTACGACACGAGGACGTTCAGGTCTCAGTCTGAAGGAACCATGAGCCCAGTAGACTTCCAGTTCTGGCCTCTTCACCAGAACTTTTACAGACTCAGTCCTTCACCACATGTTGTACCAGGAAACTGTACAGCGTTACAAGAAATGTGCTGGGTTAATGATGATTAATTGATCTATTGATTTTCAAACGATAAACAATAATTTACAGCATAGATCAGGGATATGATACAAAATTGATCAGGGGCCACAATTACTGGCAGCTCAAGGGTTGGACATCCAGCAATAATAATTATTATGTAAATGTAATTTAAGAGTTTGTTATATTTCAAATGAACTCGTCTACAGGATCAACACTTGGACACAAATATTTGTCACGTCAGATTTTTCAAATGTTTCTTGTGGATATTTTTTATGTAATATCCAGTTTTATTTTAAATGAACTCATCTGTGGGGCCAGACTGAGCTCGCCTGTGAGCCAGATGTGGCCCCCAGGCCACCAGTTGAATAGCCCTGGTGTAGCTGCAAGCAGGTCACTGGTTTACAGGAAACATTTCTGTATGTGCAGCCGTTGTAGCTTCGCCCGTATCCGAACTGATCCAGACGGATATTTTATTTTTACTGGTCTCTCCAGCAGGTTTTAAAAGTTCTGACTGGGCCCCGACCGCCAAAATAAATCATCGCCATGAACTGCACTTCTTTCTGTGAACTTTATTTACAAACCTGGTCATTGAAATTTTGACAACATGACTCTTTTATCAAATGATAAACAAAGAAAGGTGAATAAATATTTGAGGGCAATAATGTTTTTACTCATGTTTGTGTTCCTTTGTCTGTCTGTTAGCAAAATAACTCGTGAATTTTAACGAAACGGTCAGAAAGTGATCGACGAATCTTTGAAGTCAAGCACATTCAAGATGGCCGCCACAGAGAAGCGACTCCAGCAAACACCAGTACGGCAGCAGAGTCAAATTTACAGATGTGGAGCGAAATGCATTCCTTTGAGAAATGCCAGATGTTTAACAGGCGTTCAGAGACGTTTCTGTACATTGATTTGATTTGATTGAGCGTGGCACAAAAATAACTTAAACGTCATCATCCAATATGGATGTTTATCATTTACAACACGAAGTTCCTGCAAAAGCATGGCTACAAATTGTGCTTTTATTTTGAAGCCAACACACTTGAAATAATGTTGTTTTCATTTACGATGAAGTTCCTTATTACGCAGCATTAAAACACTTTTGTTAACGACTGTCAGTTTGAGTGCTGATTAAAGGTTTAAAGAGCTCAACTGTTAAACATAAAAAAATTGAACGTTTTCTTGAACATTTGCTTTGAGCTCTGGTGTCCATCTAAAAAGAAGCATTAGGTAAATGTTATATACCTAGTATAAGCTTTCTTGCATTATAAGTTTGAGTTCAATTAGTTTTTGACATTTCTAATCAGATAATTCCACAGAGTATTTAGACATAATGTTTTATTTTCACATCAAGGCTTTACAGAGGTGGAATCATTACAGCGGCACTGCTTTATACTCCATGAATCTGCTCGGATGTGGTAAAAATACCATGTCTCTTAAACATCTAAATACACTCAAACCTCACAGTATTTAGCTTCTTTAAGACTAGACTGTGCACAAATGACTGGAAATAACTTTTTTTTTTAGAAACCAGCCTTTTTAAAAATAAATCTAGGCTTCAAACACAGCTGTTGTATAAATAGTTTATTGAAAGAGCAGCAGTCACCGTCACGTGCGTACACCAAAGGAGGGCAGCTTAAATCTGTATTATTATAGGTGGTTATAAATCAGGAGTGCTTTCTTTTAGTGTGAACATTACGAGTGTGATGATTGATGATCATTGATAAGAGTTCGTAAACATCAGTTTGGTTTTGAAAAGCATCAAATGCATTTCACTTTATTTGTTACGCTACAATAAGCTCTCTGAAGTTTTAAGGTAACCATATGATGAGAAATGTCAATTTTATAGTCAAACTGTGTAAATAAATAAAAAATACCATCCCGTGCAAAAATTATGAGACCTCACAAGATCTGTGTTGAGGATGACTCTCGGCTACTACCACACCAAATTTTAGCTCAATATCTGGACAAATGACCGAGTTATAATCATTTTGTGTTTTCCAGAACCAGCCGTGTGGTAGTCATCCTGATTTGGGGAGACTCAAAAAGTTAATCAGTTGTAGACGTGCATCCCCTGATTACTCCTGGGAAATTCATTAAAATTACTCCACTGGTTTGTTATTTTGCTAACAGACATAATATAAATTGGAGATGACTCTCAGCTACTACCACACCAAATTTTAGCTCCATATCTTTAAAAATGTCTGAGTGGCAGCAACTTTTTCAGGCGCTTACCTGTGGCAACCATCTTGCATTGGACTGAAGATGTGTATCCGATGTTTACTTTGTAAATAGGTTTTTTTTTTAATAAGTTCAGAGAATCGTTAGGTAACATGACATGGGCATACAGATAATTATTATTATAATTTAACCTGGGTCAAGAATAGGGCTTTAGGAGACCAGACTATAAGGTTAAGTGGTCGCACTGTGTAAGTTTTACCACCAGAGGGCGCACTTTGTACATTTACATATAAAAGTACAGCAGAAAAACTTTGATTTGATGGTAAACATGGCGCTGTTTTTGACGTATAAATGCAAAATTGCTGCATTAGTCTACCAAACTTGGGAACTCAAGTGTGACAGCAAGCCAGCAAAAAGAACAGTTTATCTTAATTTTTAATACGAGACTGCTTATTTATGCTTTGACTGCTATTTTTATTCGCTTCAACCATTTCGTATATAAGGAGTCCTACTCCTATGTGCACCGGTGTGCGTGCTTTTAATTTGCGTGGCTAAATATGCAAAAGTGTGCATTTCTATTTACCGCCTAACCTAATATTAATGTTCCGTAAGGCTTAAAAAGGTTTATAAATCTCTCTCCATTTAAGGAGAGGGGCTGGTTTTCCTGTGACCCTCAGTCAAAATGTGTCCACTCGCTTGGAGACGTGGCAGCGCCTCCGGTCATATGATTTTGGCTCTTCCACGAACCCCACCCCGTTATTTCCCCACTCCAAAAAAAAAAAAATTTTTTAAAGAAATCACTTCCTCTGTATTCCAATAATACACATCTTTGTACACAGAAAAAAATATATATTTTCCTTGCAAGTCGGAACATTTCGCGTGCGTTGCTGCTCATAGAGCCATTTTTAGCCGTTTTTACTGCTGACGTTTACAGCCGCTGCAAATAGCTTCCGCTTGACTCTGGTAGTGATTGGACCCGGAGCTGCTCACACACACACAGGCTGAGCGGGTCCGACGTTCTTCACTTTCAATGGAGGAACAGCCCAAAGATCGGGCACAAGACAGACACTACTACCAGCACGGAGGGGACAGGAGCTCAACCCAGCGCGCAGCTTGTCTGAAAAATGATCAGAGCCACTTCCAGCGCCAGCATCAGGAAACGCAGACGAAGAAAACAGGTCGGAGAAATGTCGGCTAATGTCAACGAACCGACTAGCATTTGCTAACTAACGTGACTGGGAGTTTAGCCTGCTAGCTAGCCTTTTTTTTTTTTTTTTTTTGTCGCTGTTCCGGATAATTCGAGAAGCCGGTAGGGAGCAGACATGTTTGGTCGCGTGTCACATAAGAAAGGCGCACATTTGGCTCGCGAGCTGCTCACGCTGCGTGACCGTTGTCGCTACTGGTGGTTTTGACAGGTAGCGGATTGACCTTGTGCGCCGGTGTTGTGCCGAAAAAAAGCACCCTGTAAATATATGTTGCCAAGACATTGTCGTGTCCTTAACGGGACCGAGAAGCACAACTCTTTAATTCGTTTAGGCGTTTTCCGCATGTGTATTAAAAACGAGCCTTGAAACGCGCTTTCCTTGTGAAGGGGGGCTCTTGACGACGGGGTGCCTTTTTTCAGCACAACACCGATTTCGCCGCCTAGTTTTCCTTTACTCGTGTAGCGAAGTGTTTTGTAAAACTCCCCTCGGGCCACGCACTAATATAAGCGCATGGCTCATCATTTCCAGTAATCTTAAGTTGTATCAGTTTGATTCCGGCACGTCTGTGTCCAGTTTAGGAAACCGAGCCGGCTCCGCTGGAATGTTCTGTGCTGCCATTTCCTGTCGGCCATGTCAGAATATCTCCGCGAGCTAATGCTACACTTAGCCGGCTAGTTGGAAAAACCGTGGACGAGTGGGATTCTCTGACGCTTTAACATGCCGTTGTCGTGTTTAGGGAGGGAATCGCTCGACCAGCGACTGGTACCGAGATGTTTTTGACGTCAACTACCGGTTAGTGGTCGCTAGCTAACCGTTAGCCAGCTGACAGGCCCAAGTTGTGTGGTCAACGAGAAGCCACGCAGCTGAGCGACTACTGGAAGCGCCGACAGCCGCTTGAAGGTTCATTTTCTTAAAAAAAAAAAAAAGGCAAGAATATGTTTGTTCCTCTGTGGCAAAGCTGTTTTAAATGCAGTGTGTGTTGTGCCAACAAACATGGTGGGAGAAGCACCGAGGAGGTTGAAGCCCCACGTTGACACAGCACTTGATGCACCTGAAGGCCAAGCCTGGAAATCTACCTGAATGTGACTCCTGCTCCTTTTTCAAAACTGATATCTGTCAGATCAGGTCGTAGTTTGTGGATGACAACTGTATGGGATGTGTTTATAAATGATAGTTTGTATTAATGCCACAAAATAAGCCTCCTTTGGTTCTTTTAATTCTGTTGAGGTTAAAGGATAATTAAGCTTTTGTGTACAATCTTAACGACTGCTTCCTTTTGTCTTTTCCGTGTAAACTGATTTTATTTCCCCTTTCAGGCGTTAAAAAAGTAAACGTCAGCGACGAGGAAGGAGAGAAGAATCCACGGCTGTCTGATACCGTCGTTATATCGCATCCTTCGAACAGCAGCGGCAACAGACACTTAAATAATGCAAATGTGAAGCAAAAGGGGACGCAGAAGTTCTACACGTCTGTTCCGAGAGCGAGCAGCAAGCTGTCAGGGCATAAGAAGAATATGGACTATAAAAATGACAAGGAAAAGGCTGCGGGTTTGAGTCCTCATGAGCTCCAGCCTTTGGATAAGAGAGACTCTGCTTTGCTTCAGAATGGTGTTGTAAATTGTGGCCTCATTATAAATGGCTATTCTAGCAAGGACAATGATGGCAGCGGCTCTGAAGGTGGATATACTACTCCGAAGAAACGCAAGGCCAGATGTAACAATGCCAAGAACACTGATAATGTGACGAGGGATAAAGACAAAGACATGCAGCCCCGCAACACTACGCACGAGCTGGGAGCTTTGAACCTCGAGGCGACCGAGAAAGGCAGAGCCGCCCATAAAGTCGAAGCTCAGTCGGCGGCCAAGCGGACCGTGGCGTCGGAGACTTCAGTGGGTGAATCTCAAAGGAAAAACTCGGATGGCAAAACAGCTGGAACGTTTGGTAAAAGAAGCGAAGAAAGGCACAAAGGCAAGCTTTCCTCACCTTCAAAAGAGGACTCGTGGACTTTGTTTAAGCCCCCTCCCGTGTTTCCTGTGGACAATAGCAGTGCTAAAATTGTTCCTAAGATCAGTTATGCAAGTAAAGTAAAAGAAAACCTCAATAAAGTGGCTCAAACTGGAGAAGAGGTAACTGCTCCTCTTCCTCCTGTAAGACTGACTCAAGTTCCGATGTCTGCTATGAAAACTATCTCCTCAGCTAGCTTTACTAATGGTCCTGTTTCTGGAAATGGAAACGGCTGCCCGTCTTCGGGCACCTTCTTCGTTCCTGCTGCTAGTGTTCAATCAGCCCCATCTATCCCAAGCGGCGAGAATGTAGCATCTTTGGAAAGTAACTGTAGCTCTACAACAAGTCCTGTAGACGGAGAAGCAAGTGAGCTTAAGAAGTGTACTCTCTTAGTCTACCCTTTAAATATGCAACCCGTGCTCCCGAGCGCTCGTCACCTTGACCCACCGGCTGCTCAGACAAATCAGAAAGCCCTGGGAGACATCTTCCAGAATCAGTGGGGGCTCTCCTTCATCAACGAGCCCAACTTGGGACTAGAAGGAGGAAATGTGCCTGCTGAGGACCAGACTTCTGTGACTTCTCGACACGAGAGTCAGACTGTTGGAGACAAGGTTGCCCAGCCCTTTTTTGATGTTAGCCCATCATTTATAGAACCTGGCGCTTTGTCTCAAGACCCAGAGAAAAGGACTTGTGGCGCCTGCCAAGTGTCAAACGCTTGTTCTCCTTGTGTGGTCAGCGAGGAGGAGGCCAAGTTGCAGGAAAATACAAAGGCTGAGCTTAAAGGTGCAGGTTCTTCTGGGTCGGCTGCCAGTAAAGACAATGGTGCTAAGCCTGCACAGGGCCAGCAAACCACTGTGTTGTTTGGGTCTCCTAAAGAGCAGAGCCTCGCTAAAGACAGGAGGTGTAGCTGGGGGTCGTTTGATGTTAAAGCTGCTGTCGCCTATCACACTAAAGGTAACACTGCTCTGTTGAAAGTGTGCTTCTGTGTTGGTGTGTCGGCAAGATCTCATTTGATTTACTGATATGTGGTGTTTTAGTACAAAAAACACCGTGGTTTACTACTTTTACCATAAGAACTTATCGTTACATATTTGATCATAGTTTCTGTGTCTGTGCAGAAAAAGTCTGTTTTAAAAGCCTCATGTTTTGGAGGATGAGATCATTCACGATCAAACAGGAATGACTAATAATAATTAAAGCTAATTAAATCTAATAGTTTCTTCTGTTTTTCAGTGAACTTGTTTATGAAAGTGTTTATCAGTGCTGCGTGTGAGTCTTCATGACCATGTCTTGATGCTGAACTAACGTGTTTTTTTTTTTTTCTTCAAACAGAAATGGAATTCGTTTTCAACTTGCAAAAACAAGGTAAATATACGGAGCACTGGAGGAAAAAAGAAATCCGGGGGGGACACAAAAAAGTTCATGTTGGTGGTTCTTGTTGCTGATGAGGAACTTTCAATAGTTTCGTTTATTTTTCTTGCGCACACACGAGTTTTAAGGTTATATTTGTAATGTGACATGAGTTTCTGGAAGACATTATCAGGTGTATGCTGTTTTCAGGGAGTTCGATCTATCGTCTGCATCAGTTCTCTGAGTTCCCTGTGACTCTGGAAATCAAGGAAATCCTGGAGAATGTCATTTTATAGACAGGGAAAACTCAGGGACACTGATCTGCTGATTAAAAGATGATCTTTGAGATTTTGAAACCTCCGTCTTGTCGAAACTCCAGAATCGAAACTCGTGTCTTGGTGTAAAAAGTTTTTTTTTTTCCTGCCAAAAGAAGCTGCGAACTTGTTTTAATGATTTTTTTTAAATTAAAAGCTTTGTGTGACAAATTCTATTCTAAAGAGCTCAAACCACACAGAGCGTCCGCCATTTTGAGAACCAACGAACAGGAAGGAGAGACAACCATGTCATAGACATAAACGATGGACGCCCCGTTGAGGGGGCTGGCTCGCTGCAGCGTTAACATTTGTAATGTTAAAAGTTACAAATCTTTTCTTTGGTGCCTGTTTGTTTTCCATATATGTTAGTGTGTGTGAATGACGGGGATTAACTTAAAACACTTTGTAGAACGGTGCTTTATGAAGTTCTGTCCATTTCTTTGCGGCAATTTCGCCACATTTAAAATGGCAACGACGTACGATTCAGCGCTCAATGGGGCGTCTACGTATTTATGTCTGTGGCCCATGTCACGTCAAGGGACCTCCCTCCCATTGTTCTTAGAGACACGCTGCTTGCTCCCTCACTATCCATCCTTCAGTTCAAATAGTTTTATACTTCCATCCAGTGGTCAAAAAAGGTACTACACACAAAAATTAATCAACATTTCATCTTAAATTTGACAATTATTACTAATTATTGTCAAATTTCAAACAATATTATCGTTTATCGCAATAATTTCTGAGACAATTAATCGCCCAGTAAGATTAGTTATCGTGACAGGCCTAGCTGTGAAGCCAGTGTCGGGAGCAGTTTGAGTTGGGTGTTTGGCTACTGAGTGTAATATTTAGTTCTGGTTCCCGAGCACCACAATGTTTTAGGTGTTTTGCATGAGTTTTAGTTTCTTTAATTTCCTTTAAGAGGCTCAGAGTCAGCAAAAGAAAACCTACAAAGCAGTTGTTTTGGCTTTTATCTAGACGTTTGTAGAGACGGGAGGTTCGAGTCGATGAACTGGAGCCGTGCAGCAGGTGGTTGTCCTGAGCTACAGTGAGCTACAGCTGTGGTGGCTTCACTGAACTCACCGTCTCCTTGAAGCCACATTTTCATTCAGTCTTTTGTTTTAAACTCTGTCCTTTTCTCTTATTCCTTCTTTATAGCTGATTGTTGGGTAACGGTGATGAATGTGCTCCTCAGGCTGGCATGAAGAGTAACTCTTTACCCCCCCCCCCCCCCCCCCTCTCTCTCTCTCTGCTGTAGATCCAAAAAGAGTAGTGGTTTATGACGAGACCAAGGACGGACCTGATCACTGAGGTAGACTTTTTCTTCTGGGTGCTGCAGTTTTCTACCTTGAAGAGAGAAAACAAAAATCCTGTTGGATAAGGTGACAACTGTGAAAACTCTGACATCTAAGCATGTTTCCCCCTGGATCCTCGGGTATAATAAGACAATTTTATTTTCGTTTGTTTTTTATTGTTTGTTTTGTTTGGAGGGCATCATAAGAACGAACACTCTCTGGATGGACTGAAACAGGTTGATCGGTGCCTCTCCACCACAATGAATGAACTCTGTGCAACTTTCTAGCTGTGGTAGTCCTCGTCTCGTGGCTTTTAAGGGATGATGTTCAGGAGTTGAACAAAAGGAAGGTGTCTCTGACTGCAGCTCCACAAGCCTTTATCTCCTGAACCGCGGCAGCCAGTCCAGCTGCGGGGACGCCTCAGTCACGTTCTTCACGCATTCAGACGAGCTCACTGTAGATGCATCAAGTCATGATCCATACTGTGTGCAAGCTTCAGTTCATGTCGAATGAAAGCAGAGGACTTTCTGGAGAATAAAAAAAAAACAAGCCTTTTAAGTTTTGGAACAAATGCTCGGATTCCTGTTGAAACGACGGCGAGGCTCCATCCAGAAAGAGAGAACGTCTTAAATCCTTTAGAGGAAACTACTCAGAGCCCAGGTTTTTAAAAACATGTATCACAACTGAACTGATGAAAATAATTTGCTGTATGACACCCCCCCCCCTCCCAGAGCTGAGGTACCGTGGTGCCCAAGTTGAAGGAAAGCTCCGCCCCCTTTAGTTATTTCAGATGCGCTAACGGTTTCTGCCACCGGGTCTCCGTTCACATTTATCTTCAGACTTTTGATACATTTCACTCGGATGGTCATGAGATCCTCACAGACTGTTCTTAAATTCAGGTTCACACACGTCTGTAGATGAGTTCTGAGTTTAGGAGAGAAGAACCCGAAGCTTCGCCTCTGACGAGATGTTCCGCGTCTTGTGCGCCACGCTCCGCTGCAACACTCAGGATATCACTACAGATCACCACATTTCTCTCCACGTACTGCTTTTTAACGCTTCAGCTGATCTTCAGCTTGTTTTTGTTTAGCTTCACGGCGCAGTGTTTTAAAATTTGTTTACTGGTGTAAATGAACGAGTTCGCTGTTCATCGCAATATTAATCTGAGGTCCCCGGCGTGTCGGAACGTGACGGTGTTTTAGAACGTTTAGCAGACGAGTGCAATAACACCATGAAATATGTTACGAGCTACTAAACCATCAACAAGGTGCTGGTGTAGCCTGCAGTTCACTTTTTTAATTTCTCTAAACATTTAAAGTTCGTCTTCACTTTTGTTGCACAGTTTCCTAACTCTTGTGTCAGCGTGCGCTGTAGGTTCTGATTACGAGATCCTAGCGAGCCCAAATTCTTCCAACTGGTCGATCCGCTGTGACATCACTTTAAATGTGGATCGGTTCGTTCCGCCTCCCTGAGGAACCGTCCAGGGTTTCTTTGTAATCTAGATTTGGTTAACGTGTGGATTACTGGCACTTTATGTAAACAAATTAATCTTTATCTTAAAGACTATAAAAATCTATATGTATCCACAAGAAGTACTCCTTAAAGAATGGCTCTGGGCTGTTAAACCAACAACTAAAGTACCGAATGATTAAATGTAACTCAGGTAGTGTTGCTAAAGCCATGCAGATATGAAACATTGTTTTTGCCAAACACTGTTCTGTTTTCTTCTCTTATTGGAAATACTAAATTTAAGTCATGTTAAAGCACCAAATAGTTTCTTGTTGATCTTTTCCTTTGGCTTAAATTGTAATTATTTAATTTTTCCAGTTTTTCCTTGTTGAGAAAGCACAAAATGTTTTCTGTGCGTCTTTCTGTCTGTCTGCCATCTTTGCTGATTGTTCCTTGTTCGCGCTCATGGATACTGCTGGACGTTGGGCGGTAACTCTTAAAGTACGCTTCTCAGCACTGTGCCCCCCCCCCCCCCCCCCCCCCCCCCCCAAAAAAAAAAAAAAAAACAACCAGCTGTCAGGCCACCTGTGAGCAGAAAGGGAAATATTTTAATTTTATTTTTTAAAATCTCTCCATTTTGTCATTTTGTGTTTTGCCGTCTGGTTTTGTGTTTGTCACGCTGCCGTCTCGACAGGAACCGTTCTGAGTGTAGCTCCGCAGCCTCGGGTCCGGCAGCAGTAATCTATATTTGTGTCACGTGCTCGTGGAAATTATTAATCCGGCATAAAGTGGCTCAAATTGCACAGAATCCACGGAGGAGTCGACACAGTCGGGTTAATGAGAAATAGTTTGGGCTGGAAGAATTAAAGACTTTGCGACTGGAAACAGGGTGATCAAGATGTTAAGACTAATAGCTTTTATTTGACCCCCCCCCCCACCCCTCCCCACATTGCTCCCACCCTCAAACTAGTCTTTTTAAAGCACTTGTCTGCAGCAGCAGTGCTGCACTGAATATGCATTTATTCAGATCAGTTTTCGAGCTGTAGCCTGCAAACCAAAAACTAAACCGCTTCCCGAAACAGAGGGGACGAGTAATCAGTGACTGGAGGGCAGGGGGGAGTTATTACCACCCCCCCCCCCCCCACCTCTAAATCAGGATGTGCAATCACCTCAAAGATGCTGATGCAGGCTTCCAGGTTGTGACTGACGTGTGTGTGTGTGTGTGTGTGTTGAAAGTTCTTCCTGTTATATGCAAGTTCCTCTTCTATTGTCCAACCCCTCTCTCCTTGTTTCATGTTCAGGTGCCTGTGACAGGTTAGTGGTGGTGGGGAGAGAAACTTCCAGCAGTTTTGATTGTTTTTAAAATCTGCTTCCAGTGTATAACCGTGCCATTTTTTTTTTCTCCCTTTTTGTGTACATTTGTTTTAGTTTTTTAACGTTTAATTTTAGTTGTGTTTCCCCCCCGTTCTTAGAAAACAAAGAAAAATTATGATTTATTAAAAAGTTTTTCTGGCTTCACATTTTCAGAATCGTACGACTTGAAGCCGAGATCACTTTAAACGGGGACTTGCAGCTGTTTCTGCTGGTGTGTATCACATGAACATCTGGACTCATTAACACGTTTTAAAGATGCTCTATATATTATTCTTGGGCTTATAATCTAATTTAAACATAGATGCACAAATAGTCTAAAATGAAAATGTTTTTGATGCATTTTTTTTCTTTAGTTGAGGCTGCTGTCACCCCCCCCCCCCCCCCCACACACACACACACTGTTTTTGCCCTTATCAGCACCGTTAATGTGTTGAAGTAAATTTTCCATCAGGTTTTATACAGACTGAATATTTTGTTCAGTTGTGACGAGCATTAAAAACACTGCAGCTAGCTCGACTAACTCATCCCTCTTTTCAAACGAGGTCTCAACTAGAAAACAGATTTGGGGGGTTGTTCTAAGTATGGTGAGCAAAGAACACAGAAGTGAGGTCTTTACCAGGCGTGTTGTGCTTTTTATTTTTGCGTCCTCTCAAATAATCTTTGAGCTCGTTCATACATTCTTCCTCCCCTCTGTTCGTCTCCCCTCGCTTCACGTGTCCATCTCTGCCTCCCAACGTTCGAGGCGGTAGCATCTCAAGCGTCTCGCAGGTCGGCATTTTAGCAGAGCAGTCCGATTCTTTAGTTTTTCATGTTTTGAATTTAACAAAATTGTCACATTACAATGTTTTTTTTTTTTTTTTTTAAAGCATGATAACCCTCAAATTCCGAATGATGTAATAGTCAATAAAAAACAAAAACAGCTCATGTGTTCACTGTTTTTAGTTTTGATTAAATGTCCTTCATCAGTGGTTTTGGGTTTTATTTTGAAAACTGAGCAGATCGTCTGCATCTTTTCTAATAATCTGACTAATTACCCTTCAGCGCTTTGTGGACTCCATGCAACGGCTTAAGACTTTTGCACAGTGCTGTGGCTCCAAAATGACAACAGGATTGGAAAATTAGAAACCAAAGAATTAATCTTATTACGGTTGCATAAATTAAAAAATGATTTTAATAATTTCAGCTGTGATTTTACAGCACTGTGCAAAAGTTTCAAACCATGTTTTAACTTTCTGACATTAAGTGTTCCTCAAAAAATACTTAAATATTTTGCACACTGTTGATTATTTTAAAGCTCGACATAATCATTGTGTGAAGGCAGTTTATGAAATTTTAGCTTCTTAAAGACCTTTAGTTTGACGAAAGTCTGCAATTCTTTTTTCTTCAGACCAGCTATTTTATGGCCGTTTTGAGAAAAAATACTTTGTTTTTTCTTTCCTGTTTTATGACAAATGTTTGTTTTTATTTCCACATAAAAAAAAAAAAAAAAAAATCAGTCCAGAGTTTTTGGAAGATTGGAGCTTTTGAAATGATTGACAAATAAATAAAATTCAAAGTATTTTTGTGGTTTTGCAAGAGAAAATCGATGAAAACGAACAACAATCCATCTGTTAATGTGCCAGTACGCAGCCAAACTTGTGATTTAGTGGAACTGGTTTCAGTTTTTCAGACGGTCTCTGGGGAAGTGAGGGTGCAGAGGGTGCTGCAGCACCTCCTCATGGAGGCCAGAGGAGATTCTTTGTCTTTATAGAACTAATGGAAAAACATAATCAAAATAGTTTTTAATAGATTTGACTAAATAATGTAACGGTAACATTAATTCTTTTATTACTGGAGCCTTTTTAAAATTTTAATGCAGGCGTATCCAAACTCCGGCCGGGGGGCTATTTGCGACCCGTGTTCAAATTTTCACTGCTCCGCAGCCTCTTTCATAAAATCCTTAATATGTGACCGCCAGCCCAGCACTGTTGACTACTGTATAAAATACACACGTACAAAAAGCTATTTTATATTTCACCAGAAGTTGGCGGTGTGATTCTTTCCAGCACATTTCTAAAATGGCGACTGTAACTTAAAAAAAAAAAAAGTTGACAGCAAGGGTTCCAGAACTACTGTAGTGGAAATTTACGTGTTTTTTTTTTTCTTCAATGAAATATGAAACGATTGCATCTGTCTAATTTGCCAAGAGACTGTCTGTTTTCAAGGAATTCAATATCAAGAGGCACTACCAGACAAAACACGCTAACTACGACAAGCTAACCGGGAATAAACGCTACGAAAAAGTGAAAAACTGAGGAGGTCTGCAGCAGAAGTCTCATTTCTGGCTGAGGAGTTTCAACAGCACTTTTGGGATTTTGCAGCTAATGAAAGATTGTGCTGTTTTCCTCTCCCGTCTCCGTGGACCCTCATGATGCTCCAGAGTCCAGACCACCAGGAGCTCAGTGAGCTGCGTTCAGTGGCGGCTGGCCAATCGAGGGCGCTAGGGCGCCGCCCCACCACTAAACACCCAACATAATACCTTGAATAAGACATTAAAAAA